ATTATTTGAAATGCATTTTTAATCTAAAAATGTATTTTAGATAAATTATATATAATAATCATGCCACTATAAGTTAAAAATGATCTAAATCTATTTTTCAAAAGAAAAAATAATCATGTTCTAAAAAATTTATTCCAAAATCCATACATATAGAAAAATAAATCAAAACTGTCAAGTAAATATAATTTTAAATTAATTGAATGAGAATTTAAAAAAAATGACAAATTAAAGTAGTACATTTTAAATAATAAAAATAATTAACAAATTAAAGTTTGAAATTGAAAAAAAAAAGAGAATTTAAAATGACAAATTAAAATAGTAAATTTTAAATAATAAAAATAATTAACAAAAAACACTAAAACAAAATGAGACTAAATAACAATACGATTAAAGTTTGAAATTGAAAAAAAAGTTCAAAAAATTTGAGGACCAAAGTGTTAAAAAAAGAAATGAATAGTGAAAGAAATAATAATTTATGAGTGTGTGAATAATATTTCAAATAGTGAAATGAATAGTAAACTATGTTTTACTAGTTTCTTTTTGTCCGCGCTACGCTACGAGTTTAATAAAATATATAAAATCATTTAGAGAAATTATTTCAATTCGATAGTTTGTTTTATGTTGTGAATTTATAAAAACATATGAAATCAAAAGTGAAAAAATTATTATAATTTTTTAATAAAAAATTTTGTATTTAAATATTTCTTATTTGTGTTTTTCATAAATTTTCCTTTAGAGAAAGGATTTATTCTTGTTAATCTATGAATTATTAACTAAAAAGAAATTAAATATTTTTTTAAATCTTTAGTATTTCATAACATTGCGTCAAAAAACACAAATAACAATTATTAAAAGCTTACACAGAATTGAAAAAATAATTGTTTTATTTAATATCGATGAGAATATCGATTTTTGAAAAATACGAATTTAATTTTTGTATATTTATTTACAAAAGAATGAATAATATTAAAATAAAAAAACTATATTAATTTGAATCATTGAGTGGTTAAGTCAAAACATTATTTTAATTACTTAATTCAAAAATAAATAAATAAATAGTAAATGCTTAGTGTAGAAAATAATATTATTATATTTTTTAATAAAAAATTTTGTATTTAACTATTTCTTATTTGTGTTTTTCATAATATTTCATTTAGAAATAGGATTTATCCTTGTTAATCCTTGGATTATTAACTAAAAAGAAAAATAAATAATTTTTTTTTAAAAAGCTTTAGTATTTCATAAGATTGTGTCGAAAAACATAAATAATAATTATTAAAAGCTTATATAGAATTGAACAAATAAATTTTTTTATTTAATGTTAACGAGATTATCAATTTTTGAAAAAAATATAAATTTAATTTTTATATATTTATTTACAAAAGAATGAAAAATATGAAAATAGAAAAACTATATTAATTTGAATCATTGAGTGGTGAAGCCAAAATATTATTTTAATTATTTAATTAGAAAATGAATAAATAAATAGCAAATGCTTAGTGTAGAAAAATAATAATATTATAATATGATCATAATATTAATAACATATGATTATATTAAAAAAAATGACAAATTAAAGTAATAAATTCTAAATAATAAAAATAATTAAAAGAAAACACTAAAACAAAATGAAATCGAATCACAATACAATTAAAGTTTGAAATTGAAAAAAAAAGGTACAGAAAAATTGAAGACCAAAGTGTTAAAAAATGAACATAAATATTGAAATGAATAGTGATATGTGAGTATGTGAATAATAATATGTGAGTGTGTGAATAGTATTTCAAATAGTGAAAATGAATAGTAAAATCATGTTTTACTTTAGAGTTTTTTTTTTTTTTAATAATTTATATTGGTTGAATTGTCGTCAACCTTGCCTCATATTTATAAACATGCGAATCACATTGAAATTATTTATCTTGTGTGTAGAGTATTTACATGAATTTAATGTTAAATATTTTTATTAAGGATAAATTTCTAAGGTAACGTCCCATCTAATTTTATCCTATTAACAATAAAATAAAATAAAATGATTATTACTATTTACTATATTATTTGAAACATTGTTTATAGAACTCATTCGTACTATTCATCAAGACTTTGACGTACTATTTCTTTCACTATAGAGTGATATTTTTATAATTTTTAAATATTTTAAGGACATTTATTATGAAAGTTTTAATAACATTACACTTTAATCATTCATCTTTAAACATTATTTTTTTAGTCTGTAATTATTTTTTATTTCATTTTGGTCCCTCTTTTTTGTTTTTTATTACTTTGGTCCTTTATTCTTTTTTTTGTTTGTTTTTTATTTAAAAGTTTTAAGGAAAAAAATATCTAGAAAAGACAATTTATAAAATAAGTTTTTAGCTAAGAATCCATTGATTTTGACATTTTTTATATTATTATAAATTTTTTAGTTTGTGGATAGAGATAAATAAATAACGTATCGAAATTTTATGAAAAATAATAAATCAAATATAAAATTTTGATTAAACATTAAAAATTAAATAAATATTTATTTATTTTTAATTTAATATATCTTAGTATATATATATAATATAAAGTATAAAATTAAAATAATTTTATGTGTTATATTTAATTCGTAATATAACATGGATAAAAAAATCTTGTGGCTGCTGAAGCGATAGGGATATCTGCTGTTTCTTACCGCCGGACCCTGATTGTGATTCGTGAATAGTAATTACATATGAAGTTTAATTTAAATTGGTCTTTCTCATGAATCGAGGTCTAAGAGATTAGCTTGAAAGTTTCAGCACATGCTTTCTCAAAAACAGCATTCTAGGTTATTAGAATATACACAAGACCCACCAAGACGGTAAAGATGAAATCATATTTTTGAAGGGTCCAACCACATATGAGATTTGAACAACCAACATTAATTTGTCTCTGTCTTTATCTCCCTATTCTAGAATGCTACTACTCTTTTTTATTTATTTTTTGGTCAAAAAGTGCACGTATAAATAGATAAATGATGTATTTTAATGGATTAATTTTCCGTTTGTTTCGTGTAAAATAACGTGTCTCTAAATAATATTTTACAAATAAATATATCCCTGAAAAATATACTACTTTTAATTCTTTATCTATGTTAATAAATTTTACTTAAAAAATAATTGTCTGGCATCTTATTTATATGAAAAGCAAGTCTTAGAAAGGAAAAAGATAAGAATTAATCAGTAGCGGAACTCATGTTTTAAATGAAAAACATAATTCTGTAAAATATTTTTAATCTTTAAGAACCGTAAGTTGTTTTTATTGTTTAAAACTTTTTCTATTTAAGTATAAAATATTTTTCATCAAGCAATTTTTTTCAAATTAGCCAAAACACGAGAATGAGAATTACCATGAAAGAAAGATGGGCAACATGTCCAGTTATTTTCCCTGCATTTAAAAAGATAATTAGTTTTAGAAAACGGCCGACCGTTATTACACCGTTCTCCACCATCCAAAAAATGGAGATATATTACGTACCATGTAACAGAAAGCACACCCATCACCCAATAAAAATCGGCCACGCTCCATCTTTTATTTGCCCATAATTGTGGGACCCACAACAATCTGTCCGCATCTGATTCTATGCAACACGTGTGTTGCTGATGCATGTATCCCAAAGAAACTTTTGCCCAATCCATCACCCTCCTCCAATCCAACCTCACGGTCAGCGCCAACCGTAGGAAATTTCCCAGTCAAAAAGGAGAAGATATAAACGGAGATGGTCTGTTTTAAGTGATGAAGATTTATTTTACGAGTGCTTTTTTTTCCCCCTTAAATGAAGAGTTTACAGAAAGATTCTGAAAAATCCTAGGCAGAACAAATTCAAAAAAATAAAAAATAAAAAAATCTGATACTATAAATATCTTCTAAAATAATAGAAAAACAATCAGAAGAATGCCTTTAATTTATCACCAAACCCCATATAGTTATTTGAAAACATCACAGTTATGGTTCAATGAGGTTACGGGTCACTGAATGTATTTATCTATTACACTGTAAAATTTTATTTTATCATTCTATTTGTTTACTAATTACTCTGTTGTATGACTTGCGAATGATATAACTCAACTGTGATCCAATAAATATTATTATCTTGGAAAAATAAAAATAGAATATTTTACAATTCGTAGTTCGTGCTGAGTACATTCCCCATTAGTTTTGTAAAATCTTGTTTCGTGATTTTATAATTTAATTAACTGCATGTAATATGAATAATATAACAGAAAAAGTGACTCGTAATATTAGAGAATAAAAATATTTCTCATTATAATTGCTTAAATGGCATCTCGTCGTTTCATGAAACCGTTTATACTATTATGGATCACATAATTAATAAGTGGCCAATGCTTTTTCTCTATTTATTTTTCACTTCCATTTTAATCGATCGATTGTGCTTTTTTTTTGGGACTGCCACACTTTTCTCCTTTCAGTCCGAAATGTTTTGTCTCACCAAAGCAAGTGAAGACAACATTTTGCTTTGTGATTGATCCAGTGGGATTAATTTTTTATTCTGAGATAAAAAGATTTGAATATATCTCTATAACTACTGATTTTGTAGGATTATACAATTCACGTTCACGTGTGTCTTCTATGATAGGAAGTAAGGATGAGATGGATGCTACCGTAGAATAAAAATACTATACGAAAAATAGCAGGAGAAGGTGAAAAAAAAAAAAAAAAAAAACAACAGAAGGGTCTCAAAGGATCTGCGATCCTTCTTTTACGCTCATCTCACGTTCCCAATCAAAAAGTTTGCAATCAAATTATTTTTGGGGTAGCCATTTCCAGCTCCCTTTCTCTCTGTATAGAATAGTCATAAAAGACACAAAACAAAAGTCATCAGCTTTCCTCAAAAAGCCCATTTTTTTTGTTTGTTTGACTCTCAGTTAAACTCAAAACTGCTCTGTTTCTCGTAGTGTTAAATTTGCTCTCTTCAATTTTTTTTTCTTTTTTCGAAAGATAATTAAACCCAACAAACAATGGGTTTGATTCGTCGCCGAAAACCCGTCGAACCCGGTAAAACCTCAGGACCAAGAGAGGATGAGGAGCATGAAGAAGAAGAAGAGGAAGACAATAGTAAAAACAAACACCCAAAGAAGAGTTACAAAAAATCCAAACCAAAATGGTCATGTGTGGACAACTGTTGCTGGATTGTTGGGTGTATATGCGTAACCTGGTGGATTTTATTGTTTCTTTACAACGTCATGCCTGCTTCTCTCCCTCAATACGTGACCGAGGCAATCACTGGTCCTTTGCCTGATCCACCTGGTGTAAAGTTGAGGAAAGAAGGGTTGAAGGCAAAACATCCTGTGGTTTTTGTTCCTGGGATTGTTACTGGAGGCCTTGAGCTGTGGGAAGGCCATCAGTGTGCCGATGGGCTGTTTAGGAAAAGGCTTTGGGGTGGAACTTTTGGTGAAGTTTATAAAAGGTATGGATGATTAGCTGCTTGTTCATTTGTTTTGACTTACTATTGATAGAATACTCGGTTTTTGATGCGTTGCGTATAGTTGTCTGTTGAAATGGAAATTGAATTAGTTTCTTCTTTCAATGAGTTTATACATTTCTTTGCTAAATATAAACTCTGGGATTTGTGAATTTGGAGTTGTTTAGATGTTGAATGCTTCATGAGTTATGTTCATGAAGCGGTTTCATTAGTTTTTGGCTGTCATTGGTTTAGTTATTTTGTGCCTTTTTTCCTACTCTTAGTAGAGTTGATGCGGGTTTATCACTAATTGATTTTGTGTGATGTAACTATCATGTGAAGAAATGTGGCCATCTGTTGAGGAGACAGATAGTTTGTTAGTTTTAATGATGAGAAATTTAGTTTGTTCTAGGTTGATTTGTCAACTTTTTTCCGTTTTTGGAAATCTTGATATCAATTTTTTATTTTTAAATGACTTCGCTTTTCTCAAAACTGCTGTTTGAGATGTAGAATGGAAGAAGGTGGTGAAATATTGTCAATTAAAATTGCTTCTTAGTGGTCTTGTTCCAGCGATAAGTAGGCAGATGTGATGTCTGACATAATGTGCACTTATATCTTGATGATGAAGTGTGGTTTGATCATCTTAACTGATACACTGAGTAAATGACCTTGCTTATCCCCTGGTTAACTAGGAGCTTATATGCTACATGCTATGGAAGTAGCTTTCTGGAACAATAATATGTAAAGACATTCCTAGGGGCACAAAATTGCTGGTTCAGATTAGATATCATTGTCAGCTTTCTCTCTGTTAGTTGTATGACATTTCTTAAATGCCTTCTGTGCTTCATCAGGTGATTCTTCATTTTCTTTGTTCGATGTTTTATAGGCCTCTCTGCTGGGTAGAACATATGTCTCTTGACAATGAAACTGGATTGGATCCTCCTGGTATAAGGGTCAGGCCTGTCTGTGGACTTGTGGCTGCCGATTACTTTGCTCCAGGATATTTTGTATGGGCAGTTTTGATTGCTAATTTGGCACGCATTGGATATGAGGAGAAGACAATGTACATGGCATCATATGATTGGAGACTTTCATTTCAGAACACTGAGGTTTTCGTCTATTTCTTTTACGAACTTGAGTTTATCATTTGTGTCGTATATGCTGGCAGATTTTTTTATAAACCTGTTACTTTCACCATGAATGATTTTATATCTGTCGAACTCAATTAATCAGGTCCGTGACCAAACGTTAAGCCGTATCAAGAGTAATATTGAACTTATGGTTGCAACAAATGGTGGAAACAAGGCGGTTATTATACCACATTCCATGGGTGTTTTGTACTTTCTGCATTTTATGAAATGGGTGGAGGCACCAGCTCCAATGGGTGGCGGGGGTGATCCAGGTTGGTGTGCTAAGCATATCAAGGCAGTGGTGAATATTGGTGGACCATTTTTAGGTGTTCCAAAAGCTGTTGCTGGGCTTTTCTCTGCTGAAGCGAAGGATATTGCAGTTGCCAGGTTGTTATCTAGTTTAGCTTTACTGTAGTTAATGGGTAGTAAGCCTCTTATGGCTATAACTCTACTGTACTTAATGGGTAGTAAGCTTCTTATGGCTTGTTTAACGATGAGTATGACTTGCTAGGCTCAATAAATAATCTTTGCATTGGGAAATCATAACTTGCAGCAAAATAATGCTTCATCTTGAATATTTTTCCCATAAATCATGACCATAAATATCAACCGATTTAACTCCATTTGTTTCATTGCCAAAGTCTGTTTTTTGATGACATTCCATGATGTCCTAAAGGTCTTGCTCAGTAGCCTACTTTGTTATACAGCTCACAAAAAAATTCCCCTGGCCTGTAACTTGAGACACTGGCAATGCATGTAAACTTGGAGACACGTAATTTTGTACATGCCCAGACTTCCTTTATTGGCATGTTAAATGCGAGAAACTTATTATGGCCTATGCTATAAGTGGTGTTCTGAGGAACTTATTTTTTTTCTTGCACTGATGTCTGAATTCCTTTTTTTGAGTGGCATCTTTTCTTATTCTAATTTCTATCCATTGTGTCTTAGTTATTTTCTTCTCAAAGTACAAACTATACTTGGTTGAAATGATTTGGTCTTTTATTTATTGAAGGCATAAACTTTCACAATGTGATATAATTGTTGATCATTTTTTTGGCAGAGACTAATTATTACTGCAGTTCTAATGGGAACTACTATACTTCTTGCAAAGTATGAGATTTGAGATTCTTTACTTTGCCTAATTTTTCATATCTTTGTTTCTTTCTATTCATCTTGTTTCAACTTTTTGTTCCTAAATCTTCTTTATGTTTCCTTTTTTTTTTTTATTGTTGAGACGAGAAATGGCTAATTTCTTGCTGCAGGACAGTTGGCCATGCTATTGCTTTCCTAGAGGCTCTTGCTCTTATGGCCATACTTGACACAGTTTATTTGATTATCTGTACACGACTGCTGATCTTAATTTATCCGTGTACTTGTATTGGTTTTGTATGTACTGAATGTTTTAGACTATGCTTCAACCTGCAGGGCCATTGCACCTGGTGTCTTGGACAATGATTTATTTGGCTTTCAGACAATGCAACATATAATGAGAATGTCTCGCACATGGGATTCAACCATGTCAATGATTCCTAAAGGCGGGGACACTATTTGGGGTGATCTTGACTGGTCACCTGAAGAAGAATATACTCCTATTAAGAGAAAGCAAAGAAACACTGATGCCCAGAAAACAAGCCAAGATGGTCCTGAAAGTGAGATCTCTCAAAAAAGAAAACCAATTATGGAAGGATCATATCATTTGGGAAAGATGTAGCTGAAGCACCTTCATCTGACATTGAGAGAATTGAATTCAGGGTAAGTTTATTTGTTTTCCTAAATTTGGTGAAAAGATAGCTATATCTTTGAATTTCTTGCTTACCTGTGCAAGTTTTTTCCTTTCACTGTTCGACCAAATTAATTATGCAGATTTAATATCTTCTACCTTTTTACTCTCTTGCAGTCAGTTTTAAGATTATAATTTTTAATTCTGTTATTCATGACTGTCTGTTCTTCACTGAAAGATTATGCTAATCTTTCATTCTGAGTTTTAGTGCTTTTACACATCAGAATTAGCTTTTAAGAAACCGCAATTCTCTCTTTAATATGTTCTTTGCTATCTTAACATGCAGGATGCTGTTAAGGGTCAAAGTGTTGCAAACACCTCCTGTCGTGATGTGTGGACAGAGTACCATGACATGGGATTTGGAGGTATTAAAGCTGTTGCCGAATATAAGGTTTATACTGCTGAATCTGTTCTAGATCTGCTGCAGTTTGTTGCCCCAAAGATGATGGAGCGTGGCAGTGCACATTTCTCTTATGGAATTGCTGATGATTTGGACGATCCAAAATACCAGCACTACAAATATTGGTCAAACCCCTTGGAGACAAAGTGAGAATCTGCCTGCTTAGTCAATTGTAGATGGAAACTGATATGTTAGTTTTCTTGGGAATAGTTTCGTGATATTTAGAACAATAGTATGTAGTCACAGTGCTTGCATACACTCCCATTTCACAGGTATGCTTGTATATAGAATTGGCGAACATAAATAGCTAGATTTTTTAAGAAGGCCAAATCTTTGGTGGTTCAACTATATACTGATTTATAGTGTACAGTGATAAGAGATATAAGTCCTGTGAATTAATTTGGAAATTTTGAATGACTATTGCACAACCAAAAAGCTAAATTGACACTATCAAGTTTGAACATGGCAAATTATCTGATTTGGATTTTTTATAAGCATGCAGTTCTTTTAAGAAACATGCCAGTATGCAATTGCCATAGATGCCCTGTACAGCATTATGTTCTTGATATTTAAGATTTTTCTCATTCCTTATTGTCCCACATCCTCTTTTGAATTCTATTTTCCCAAATGTTTTCTGCTAGCAGGCCTCTTGGATCATTGTTTCTTCTATTTCTTTTCAATGATGTTCAATTACCTGATTGAGTCCCTAGTCATGGTTGCCTTACAAGGTCTTCATCTCGATTGCTGATAACCTCTCACTCTGGTTTTACAGATTGCCCAATGCCCCAGAAATGGAGATTTTTTCCCTGTATGGAGTGGGCATACCAACTGAAAGAGCTTATGTTTACAAGTTATCTCCTTCAGCTGAGTGTGCTATTCCATTTCAGATTGATGCATCAGCTGACGAACAAGATGAAGGCAGCTGTCTGAAAGGTGGAGTCTATTCTGTTGATGGAGATGAGACTGTTCCTGTTTTAAGTTCAGGCTTCATGTGTGCTAAAGCTTGGCGTGGGAAAACAAGATTCAATCCTTCAGGAAGTCGAACGTACATTAGAGAGTATAATCATTCTCCTCCAACAAACTTGTTAGAAGGTCGGGGCACCCAAAGTGGTGCTCATGTTGATATAATGGGAAACTTTGCTTTGATTGAGGATGTAATGAGAGTGGCAGCTGGTGCCACAGGAGAAGAGTTGGGGGGCGATCAAGTTTATTCAGATATATTTAAGTGGTCCGAGAAGATCAGCCTACAACTATGATCGCAAATAGTATGTGCTTTCTTATGGCGGGGATTAAAAGTTTTCTTTTTGATAGTGCATTTTTCTTTTGGTCCTTGCTGTTCGTCCAAGTCTTGTATTATGGTCTGAAAATTTGTGGCAATATCCATTTTAAACCTTAGCTACAACAACAGTAGGCCTTATCCATGTTCTCATTGCTACATGTTCATGGTGTGGATGATGTCAATCTTCATGGATTCAGCAAATCTTAGATGGATTTCTAACAATATTGGATATTTCATTTTAATGTCAAGCTCTTTTCTTTTGCTATTTGATTTTTGGTCTATGTTTCCTACCAAGCTGCTGCTGCCCTATGCCTGTTGGTTCAGCATTCCTATTGGCTGTCAACTTTCTCTTCATATTCATTCAATCTTAAAATAAATAAATAAATAAATCTACAAGGCTTTGTAATGTGACGCCAATATTTTCTTTATCTGTTCTCATACTCCACGGCCCGACTCTTTTCATTTTGTTGTTAGATGGCCGAGCTCAATTTGGCAGTCCCTATTTGCTACTTGAAGAAACTCAAGTTATTTTTGTCTGTGCAGAGGTGTGAGACTTGAGGACAATGGAAGTGATTCAGTCATGACAGGCCTTCTGTGTGCTTGCGCTTGTCCTGAACATTAGAACTTTAAGACAAGGCAGGCAATGGAACCGAAGCTTGCTGATTTCTCCTTTATAAGTAATTGTGAAGGAAGCAGCAGAGCTGGTTCTGAGTTAATGGATCAATGGATTTAAACTGAATTGCAGCTACTATTTTGTTGCTTCTCACTCTTGATTTTTAGTGGTTAATATTCTTCTATTGCATTTGTATAATACTTATATCGTTGTTCTTACAACTGAAAATGATGTGTTGAAACGAATTATTCTTGGTAGCTTGTCCTTGAAACTGTAGTGTTGATGAAATCACCAAAAAGAGCATGGACCTTCTCTGTTGAAAATGGATTTCTTTGGTTCATGTATCGTTTTTTCTTCTACAGGGTCTAACACTAAATAATTGTCAAGAATCGAGATCATTAGATTGTACTTGTTTTTGGTGGATTGATTGCTTTGACTCGTCAACAGAGTTCCCACTTTTTTTCAAATTTTTACCATAGCTTGTCCAACTTGTTTTGTGAAACTGACATTATTACCACTCTGGATGGTTGAAGATGTAGCAAGTTTTGCCTGTTTTGGGAACTAAAACCTCTTCTGTATTCAGAGACTGTCCTTTTTGAATTTGAAAACGTACTTGAAGATCTTTGGATTGTGATTGATTCTTTCTTCATTAGTAAAACAAACCAAGCACTCTTCGCAAATTGGAATTTCACATTCATCCCTGATGAAGTTTAAGGTGGCTGTCTATGTGGGAGCCATTTCTAGCACTAAAAGAATCCTGATGTGATGCGGCTGTTGTTACGGCTGCAGAAGATGCGGGGGAGTGAATCTTGACGCCATTAGATCCGTTGGTTTACCGTTCATTTGGCTTTTTATATGAAGTTGGTGGAACGCTAAATTTCGATGGAGATGCATGATCGAATCGAGGGTAGTGAGGTTGCAAATTTTGGATTTTGCAAGATCGAGGTAACGGTGAGGTGGAAAGTTCAGCTCTGCATTCTGGTTGGAAATCATTAAGGTGGTAAAAGGTTTGCACAATAATTTTATGCGTTGTGGGGTAGAAAGTGTTAAAATTCGCAAAATGAAAAGAATTAATAACATTTATCATTCCATTGTTGCAGAAGTTCTGAGTTGTTACCACTTACAATAAAGCTTTTGCAATATGAGAATTGGGTGTGAACAAGAAACCACCATTTTTAAACCATGAGCTGTGCAGGGGATGCTAATTTAAGATACAATTCTCTTGGTAAATTATGATGTGTAAATTTGCATTTCTAACATCTAATTATCTTAAAATTATGAAATTCTCCTGATTCGCTCTATGAAAATTCCATTGAATATAAACACGGGCAAAATATTTGTTTAGTAAGAAAAAGAAAACCATGCGAAACAATTTACCATTCACAAACAATTACTTTGTAAGTTTAGCCGATAATATTCTTTCGAAACTAAACTATTTTAACATGTATATAAATATAAATTGATTTAGTGGTTGTATAATTCATAGTTTTTGTTTAGTGAATTAGATTCAAATTATAATGATTTCAGCTTATTTGATTATTATGTATGAAAAAAGAGTTATTTCATATTGTTTAATCTTAAACTCAATAAATCTTTCGATATATATATATATATATTACAACTTCATATTATCTTCGATCTTTTGTGTAAAATCCACTTCTACAATTATGTTAGAGATATGTCAATATAATTCGTGCATAGACTAGGAAATTATAATATATAATTGTTAATATATATATATATATATATATATATATATATATATATATATATTTCAATAAACCTTTTTCTCAGATGCTTGGAGTTTTCTTGAATTTATTCCTCGAATTTGAAAAGTTTGTTTTGTGTAGCTAAGAAAACACAGTAACCCTCCAAACTTTGGTACTCACCTCAATATTATTAAAAAATGGGAGAAACCTCAATTTAGTCCCAAAACCTATATTTATTCTCAATTACATTCCAAACCTATAAAGTTTGTCAATTAGATCTCAAATGTTTCAAAATTTTCTCTAATGCATCCTTATCTTAATCTTTTTTAATTCTTTCAAGTCTAACATTTATATTTTTTGCATCAAAACTAATGTAGATTTCAAGAAAATTTGAAAAAAAAGTTAACAATCATTATATTATCAGTCTAATGTGCATGTTTATGCACTAAAACAATGTCAATTTAAATAAAAATTAACAAAAATATTTGTAAACATCAACAGAAAGACTTCCTTGAATTTTTTTTTTTTTGAAATATTTATGATCAAACTGATAAAATTTATAGATTTGCTACTCAACTAGAATGCATAAATAGGTTTTTGAGTTTTCTAAAAAACATTTACTCTCCCTTGAAACTTCAATTCTACCTCAGTCAAACTTAAACACTAAACGGTGAAATCTTTTTGGCCCACCAAACACCCTCTATGTTCGTCTATACCTGATCATTCCTCCTCCTTTTCAATTTTTATCATCGCCCTCTATATTTCAATTCTCTTCAAAATATCACACCCAAAACTCTCTCTCTCTCTCTCTCTCGATCACACCGAGTCCGCTCACTTCGCCTCGCTGATACATGTACATACACTCTCGCCTCTCGATTTGCGCTCTGTGATAAAAAACCCTAACTCACCGAGCAATCACTCCACTCGCTCCCTCTAATTTCAACCACTCGACTCGTCGACGCTGCGTCAGAACTAAACTACAGCTTAATTAATTAAAGCTTGTTTCAGGTAAATAAAGATCCTTCTCTTAATTACTTCCATCTTTCTTTTAATTTCGCACTTTCAGTGTTTTCAACCGTACTCAAATTAAATAACTGCTTTAAGTTTTGAATCATAATAGTTTAATTAGCAAATTGTGTATTAGGGTTACTTTAGTTTAGCTTTTGTTTTTTGGTTACCAATTTTAGGGTTTATAATGTTTCATTGTCTATTTGTTGATTTTGTGAAATGAAATGCGTAAGGTTGTCAGATTGATTTGTGTTATGTCCAAGAGCTGCTGAAAGCTGATTGTTTAGGAAAGAGGGAGTTGGGAATTCTTAAGACAACTGATGTTGTCTTTTTTTAGGGTGTTTCTCTAGTTGCAGGAATGATGATCATTTTTTGGCTTAGGAATTAAGAAATTATAAAATCAAAGGTCTGTTGAGACTGATTAGAGAATGCATTCTTATTAGGAGCAAGACAGAAGAAATCCTACTGGAAGTCTGGAAGTAAGGGGATAAGAATTCTATAAATCAGAGGAAAAGAAACGAACTGTAACCAAGTTTCGGAGGAACTGAACTAATCAAATTTTTATTGACATGAGTTTATTCTAGATTTGTGAAAATGAGTAATATAGTTGCCAGTGTTGGGTGCTCCTAGTTTTACCAAGTTATGCATCAGCACTTGTTTATATGCTATACTAATTTAAAGCTGCATGTAAAAGACTGAGATAATAACCCATATTGCTAAGATTATTAAACAAATAGGATAACACTCGTGTAGTCAGCCTTTGAAAATAGCCACATTTTTTAGGTGCCTGGTAATATCTTGTCAATTATGGAAGTGCTATAGTAACTGCATGGTACCTGTGTAGCTAAACAAGGTGTTCGTTCTAAACTTGTTGGGATGGGGTAAAATTAAATTTCTATGTTTTACTCCATCTAAGGTCATATTGCTTCCACATCCTTGGAAAATTTTGGAGTACCCTTCTCCCTTTAAAATCTCTATGCTACTGCATCTATATGGGTTTCCAAGGGATCTACACTCTTCTTTGGTGACATACTGTAATGCAATGATTTGAACTGATTTCAAACCTGTTTTGTTTGTCAGAGGAGGTGCTGCTGTTGAGATGAATTTGCAACAGGCTATGCAGCCCAAATCTTCTGCTAATGGTTTTGGTCGTCGGAGAGCTGAAAGGGATTGGGGGACAAGGTTTGAGAATAAGGTGCAATCTGGAAAATCACACACCAATAGATCGAGTAATGCAGGTGGGTTTCCCTGGCCTGAAGTACTTGTCACTCTAGATTATACATCCTGTTCTAACAAAATTGATATAGGTGCAATGGGCAAAGTTGGAGTTTACGAGAGTCCTTCGCGTGATCGGCTAGTATATTTAACAACTTGTCTCATTGGGCATCCTGTGGAAGTCCAGCTGAAAAATGGATCCATATACTCTGGAACATGTCACACAATAAATTTTGAAAAGGAATTTTGTAAGTTCTGTTCATTTATTTAGTTGAAGAGATTTTACACATGCTGTTAGCTGTGTTGTAAATTGATTCTAATTATGATCTGCTGTCACATGGAGTCCTGTGTTTAGTCTATTTCCTTCTCAGTTTTCAGCATTCTTTTGCTTTTTTCTTTCAGCAATAATTTTGAAAATGGCTCGTGTGATAAAGGAAAAGGACGTTTCTGTCCAAGGCCAAAAGGCAGAGTTTGTCAGCAAGGCCCCATCAAAGACTTTGATTTTACCTGGAAAAGAAGTTGTACAAGTTATTGCAAAGGTTCTGGTGCATTTCGCTTTTTTCCTATTCTGCATACTCGAATCTGGTCTCTTGAGTGAAGTTGATTTTTATGTTGTTGGCATGTGGTTCTGAATGGAACCTATGAGATGATTTTTATTGGATAAGTTAACAAACAACAAAAAGAAAAAAACTGCATTTGATTAGTTAGTTGATGTTGTAGAGAAGATTCTCAGTTTGTGCAAGATTATATGGATGTTTCTGTTTTTTCTATTCGTTTATCGGTGATTTAATCAGACTGTCTGATATGTGGTGCCAGGATATATCTGTTACCATAGATGGGATGTCCAATGAGCTTCAACATGCAAAGGAGCAAGAAATTATGATTGACTCCTTTATATCACAATCACGACTTGTTGAAATGGGGAGAGAGCTTGAACCTTGGATCCCTGATGAAGACAATCCACAATGCCCTGAATTAGAAAACATATTTGATGGCCCTTGGAATAGGTTGTTATAATAAGTATTTCTTTCCCCAAATTTCTTGGTAATTTGTTCTACTGTTTTTAATAATCTCTGGTTGAGTAGGATTTCAACTGACTATTTTTTACTTTGCTGTCTGCGGCTTGTATTTTTGTGAACTGAATTTGTGTTCTCCCAGCTTTCTAATCATGTTTTATCATCATCTCCCCACTTAAATTCATCACAATAATAGTATTAATTTGGACTTCTCAACAAGATACCATAGAAAACCTTATTCTGGAAGGATTGCTTTCTATAGCTTACATACGCTGATGGATGTCTTTGGGAATTGTGTGGACATATTCTCTGTTGCCCCTGCTTCTTATGTATGGTTAGGTTTTCAGTACTTAATTAACTCTATTTAAATACAGGTATTGAAGTGTGTTTACTGGAAGGCTAAGGTTAAACCTTCTGTGCTTGATACAATTGTATAACTGAATAGGGACCCATTGTCATATAGACATTGGAGTTCTAGCTTGTGCTACCCATGTTAAATCTCACTGCTCTCTCCTCCTTTGATATATGCAACTTAAAATCAGTATCCCTTTTTGTTTTTGCCTTCTTTGTGGTTATAATTTCATAGTATCCCTATGTAATTTTTATTACTGATTTGAAACATTTTTTTGTTTATTTCCATATCAGGGGATGGGATCAATTTGAAACAAATGAAATGCTCTTTGGAGTAAAAAGCACCTTTGACGAGGAACTTTATACAACAAAGCTGGAGAGGGGTCCTCAGATGAAAGATTTAGAAAAGGAAGCTGGGAGGATAGCAAGAGAGATCGAGGGTGAGGAAACACGAGACCTTCACTTAGCAGAGGTGAGGATATCCTAATGTTATTTTCTGCTTGTATTTTGGTTTATGTTTTCTATAAATTTCTCTTCTTTCGTCAATTTATTCAACAGGAAAGAGGCATCCATCTTCATGAAAGTTTTGATATCGATGAGGAGACCCGATTCTCTTCAGTCTATAGAGGAGGAGCCATTGATGATGGTGGATGTGAAGAACTTGATCATACGGTGATAAATTCTCATGATAGTGAAACTTTTGGAGGGCCTTCTTCCTGTTCCATTAAGAAGTCTGCTGATTTGACCCAAGCAAAAAGCAATGATGGGACTCGAGTCTTATCAAGCTCTTCCTTGGTATTTCCGCAACTAATCACTTTAAAATTATGCAGAATTTTTGTTTAGCATTTGAGCATATTTTTACTTACTTTATAATTCTAAGCAAATTTTTTTAGCATATTTTCAGCTTGGAGCATTTATTTTAAGTAGTTAGTCATAATTTATTGTAATTCTTTTATAAGGAATTACTACTTGTTGTCATGGTTGTACTGTGTTTCTATGTTTCTTTGTATGCAGGATGAGGCACAATGTTCTCAATCAAGCACTTGCGCAGATCTGCTTCATCCAGGATCTCATGATCATGCTGCACAGCTTCCATCAGAACCCCCTACGAGAAGTTTCTCCACTTCCGACAGTGAAAGCAGGTTCTTACTATTGTGTTTAATTCAATATTTCCTCAAAGATAATTGAGTTGCATCTCATTTCATGAGAATGGTTTTTGGGAGGACAAATGAATTTGTTGTGTTGTGAAATCCTTGAATTCCACATTTTGAATAGGTTCCAAGACGATCAGCATCGTGAACATGGAGCAGTTGCTGACATTAAGGAGCTCGTAGAAGAGCAGATGGTGAGTCAAACTTTAATTACCCTAATATTCTGTTTAAAGCTTGAAAGAGAGCATTATTAATTGTCTTTGGTTGGTGTTGCCTCTAATATTGGTTTCTATTAATGCCAATTACAGCTCACTGAGGATGCTCAATTATCAAAAGGTGAGAGTGAGTTAATTATTCTGCAATTCTTTTACTTAATTCATTCATTTAAGTTGTAGTATGAACATCTTTTATTATAAAGTTGTTGCATGAACATGTCAAAAAAATAAATTGAGCGATAAAATTTCATAATGAAATAATGATAATAAAATATGTTTGGTGTACTTACATTTTCTTGCTTCACCTGGCCTATGTGGTGTTATGCAATTTTTGCTAGAAAAGTAGGATCCTCACATTAATGACACTTGTGCTTTCTGAACTTCTTCATCTATAAACATTTTTTCTTTTTTCTTTTTCTGTAGATCTCAAGCCAATGGACAGCAAGAAAAAGGAATCTGATAAAGGGAGACTATCCCCTAATATCACTGCTTATGCCCCTTCATCCCATGTTGTTCCAAAAAATCACGAAAAGACTAGTTCCCCTGGCCAACTGTTAGAGGTTGTGGCATCTGTCAAAGGAGCTGGAGAAACGCTGCCAGTAAACTCTCGTGGACGACCTGGTAGTTCTACATCATCAAATTCAGATTGTGCTGGTGCCTTGGCAGCTTCTAGTGGTCCTGGTTTATCTCCAAGCTCATCAATTGGTTCATTGTCTTCTGAAAAGTCAACATTAAATCCCCATGCCAAGGTTTGTCTTGCTCGACATTGCATTTGCATATGGATATACTCCCTTTTGCAGCAGGGGCACAAGCACATGGAACATGCACTATTTGTCATACTTATGAAGGGCACATAACATTTTTTAGAATGTATTCTTTATAGTTCTCTGGCACTGCCTCATATATTTGGATTCTGTCTTTTTCTTTTTCTTTTTTTTTTTTATTTGGTTTTCAGGAATTTAAACTTAATCCCAATGCCAAGAGTTTCACCCCTTCTCAAACGCCTGCTAGGCCCACTTCCCCAATGTCAGATGGTTCCTTCTATTTCCAACCTAATGTTTCTGCTGTACCACATATGCATGGAATGCCTGTGGGAATTGGAGTAAGTTCCGAAATGACTTTATTACTTCTACTAAGATATAACTTGATTGCTTATTTGTTCCCCTTTTTGTATTCAGTTTAATTATTAGAGGAGTTAGGTTTAGTGATGCTTTATTATGTCTTTTTAGTCCCCATAGTGTTGTTGGAAAACTGATGGATGATTCTTTGCACTTTTTTCTGTAGAAGTGAGCTCTAAAATAATGCTGAAATATGTAAAATTGATTTCTAATATCATTCTTGGAATTATCTTGATTCAATGGTGTGACTCTATCTCTGCTTGTTTACAAGTACTCTGGGAATGGTGATTATGCCTTTAGGACATGTTTGGTATGAGGCTAAGGGGGTGAAAATTTACCCTTGTAATTTTTCACCCCATTTACTCATGTTTGGCGCACTTTTGGGAGGAGGGGAAGATTTAAATGTTAACCTTAGGGAGGGGGTGTGGAGGTTTTCCCAAAGGGGAAATTTTTTGATTTTTTTTTTAATTGGCTACTTCCATCTCAAATTGAGAACCACAAATATATATTATTTAATGTTTTTTATAATTTCATTTAATTTGAAATTTCATTTTACTCAATTGGGACCCACTATTACTCATAATTTTTTCAACTCCGACCAAATATCCTTAACACTTCACCCCTTAACCATTTTTTACACACTTAACATTTCATCCTTAAATCATAATCCTTTAACATTTCCCCTCCAATTTTTTTCACTCCATACAAACACAATCTTAGATGTAAGAATATGGATTCAACAGATGTTACAGGTGGTTCTTTTTGAACTTTACATCCTATTTCAGTTATCAGAAGTGACTAACTTCCACGATTTTGCAGCTTGGACCTTCATTCAATGGGCAACAGCCTGTTATATTTAACCAGCAGCTGGCAACATTGCAAACTCCGCAAGCATATTTGCATCCAGGTGGACCTCAGGTACAATATTTACTCGCATGATATTTTAGGTGATTCTGGCATTCTGCAGGGCATGTCATCTCAATGTAAAATTGTTCAGATAGTAATCTGAATTTACACACATATATGACTAGTTGTATACATGTAACTGCAGTTCGGGCAGCAGATGCTTCTTGGCCAGCCTAGGCAAGTCTTGTACCTGCCAAGCTACCAGCCTGTAAGAAAAATTCTGATCTTTAATTTTAATAGAGAAGACGTACAATTCACTAGTCATGACTAGATAAATTGAGGTTGAAAATTTGAGGAATATTCTAGTTTACTGTCTTTTCCCCTGGAAGGGGATCCATGGTGGTGAAAGATGAAATGCAATTTATTATGCATATGCCGTTGGGGTTGAGCATATTTCTATTTTCTTGACAACGGTGTAAAACTTACCATTTTCATGCTTATTAGGTAACGTCAACTCATTTAGATTATTTTTGTTTCCGTACAGGAAATGCCGTATAAAGGACGAGAATTTTAAGTTATTGATTGCTTGCTTTATTGGTGGTTCCTACTCTGCACATTAATGGATTTTGAAGAGGTTGCTTGAACTATTTACTGAGGATCTAAGCCTAGTGTCCATGAAGGTTCTGTAGTTTTTGACACCCCCAGTTGGGGAGCAGGTACTGGATTCATTCTGGAGTGTAACCTTATGACCTGTGTGCCTCATTTAAACTGACTGGATTATTGTTTATCTTGTACTTATTTTGGCTTTTTTTCTTTTGATAAAGTAGTTTTGGACCAAATAAAGTGCAAAATTTTGTGTATTGTTCATGTGTGTTTATTTAGGCCTTTGCATTGTGCAATTGAACTTTCTACGCTATGCGTTGACCTCTTATGTCAACCTTCAACATCTGGAGAGCAAAGCGGCACTCATGCAGTGTGAAATAATAGTTTCGACAAAATAAAGAAAATTTTTGACGTTTGAGGTTTGGCTCGGGTGGTAGGTTGGTTTGTGTGTGTGGCATATCTAAAACTCGACCCGTTTTAAATCCTAAAATCCATGAAAGTTGTTGTTTTCAACCATGTTCTGTACATAATACCAACAAATTTGATTTTTTTTTCGGAATATAATATAAAGAAAACGGATTAATGGTTGTAGAGATCTTTGTATTCTATTTTTTTGTTTTTATCTTCTTTAACTTGTTTACTTTCAAACCAACGTGTTAATTTGTTTGTTTTTTTGTCTTAATTTCATTCTTCTATTTTATTTATCTGTTTTAGTTTTTTTTTTAATGAATTTAAATAAATAAATTTTAGAAAATAAAAAAGAAAGCTTGAAAAAAATGTGAAGATGGTTTTGTTCATTCTCTCTAAAAATTAATATAATAATAATAATAATAATAATAATAATAATAATAAGCTTAAAAAAGTTCATTCTTTCTAAAAATTGAAAATTAAAAAAAAAAAGGTGAAGATAAAAATATTTTTTATCCAAAATATCATTTCTAAGCTTAAATTTATTTCTATGATAGCAAATAAATTTTGAGTATAAAATAAAATATTTATAGTACATTTTTTTAAAAGTGAAGAGAATAAAAGTTTTTTTAAAAATAAAATAAAAATAAAAAATAAGTAAATTAATAATAGACTACTTCAAAGTATTATGAAATTATAAACATCATTCAAAAATTTAGAAATTTAGTTAAAATATTATAAATATTTCATTTTATATTTAAGTTTTCTTAACTATCACATAGGTAAATTTAAAGCTTAAATGATATTTAAATTTATTTTTTACCTTCATTTTTTTCTATTTTTTTTTCATTTTGAACTAAAATATTTTTACCTTCATTTATTCTTTTTTCTATTTTTTTTTCCAAAGAGAATGATCTGACTTTCACCAGTTTTTTTTTTCTCAAAATTTATTTATTTAAATTTGATTAAAAACAAATTTTAGAAAAAAAAAGAGAGTAAATAGATGAGATTAAGATATTAAAAAACAAGTTAATACCTTTAGTTCAAAAATTAATTGAAATACGAGATTAAGGAATAAACCAAAAGTAAAAGGATGAATTTGAAAAAAAAAATAGAGAAGCGTGATACAGACAAAAAAAAATAATAATAAAGGGATCTCTGCAACCATTGCTAAAAAAACTAAAATAAAACATGATTTTACTATTTATTTTCACTATTTAAAATACTATTCATACACTTACCAATTACTATTCTTTTCATTATTCGTGTTATTTTTTTAGCACTTTGGCCCTCAATTTTCTATACTTTTTTTTCAATTTCAAACTTTAATTGTATTCTGATTTAGTTTTATTTTATTTTAGTGTTTTCTTTTAATTATTTAAAATTTACTACTTTAATTTTTTTTTTAATATAGTCATATGTTATTAATATTATGATCATATTATAATAATATTATTTTTATACACTAAGCATTTACTATTTATTTATTTATTTTTACTAAAAAATTAAAATAAAATATTATTTTAATGTTCATTTTCACTGTTTAAAACACTATCAACACACTCACAAATCACTATTTCTTTCACTATTCATGTCATTTTTCAGCACTTTAGTCCTCAATTTTTCTATATATATATATTTTTTAATTTTAAACTTTAATTGTATTGTGATTTGATCCCATTTTATTATAGTGTTTTTTTAATTATTTAAAATTTACTATTTTAATTTATTATTTTTTTAATATAGTCATATGTTATTAATATTATGATCATATTATAATAATATTATTTTTCTACACTAAGCATTTACTATTTATTTATTTATTTTTGAATTAAATAATTAAAATAATTTTTTGGCTTAACCACTCAATGATTCAAATTAATATAGTTTTTTTATTTTAATATTATTCATTCTTTTGTAAATAAATATATAAAAACTAAATTTACATTTTTTCAAAAATCGATATTCTCATCAGCATTAAAAAAAATAAAAAATATTTGTTCAATTCTATGTAAGTTTTTAATGGTTGTTATTTAGGTTTTTTGACACAATCTTATGAAATACTAAAGCTTTTTGAAAAAAAATTTATTTATTTTTTTTTAGTTAATAATCTATGGATTAACAAGGATAAATCTTTTTTCTAAAGGAAAAATTATGAAAAAACACAAATAAGAAATAGTTAAATACAAAATTTTTGAAGAAAAATTATAAATAATTTTTTCACCTTTGATTTCATATTTTTTTTATAAATAATTTTATATATTTTATATAACTCGCAACATAACATGAGCAAAAAAACTAGTTAACTCTAAAGGAAATTGGTTGGAAATTTTTCTAACATCGGGCTTGTTGGTGTAGTTGGTTCCCGCTAGTAAATTATTTTACTTGTTTTGGATTATACTCATGACAATAGTATTAAATCGCGAGATGAGATCGTGGATCATGATTTATCGCGATAGTAAAATAATAATTGTGATAAATAATGTCATGAATATGTTAGCGGTATTTGATAAATTTATTTTGATTCATATATTTTTAATAGTTTTACTAATTAAGCATAATATCATACAATAATAATTAAATGTATTACATATGAAATTTAATACTTTTAATAGTTTAATATCACTTAAAAACAATAATAAAATACATTATAACTTCAAGATACACATTATAAAATATTTATCTCTAAAAAAATAGTTATGAAAGGTCATAATAATAGTTATTATTTTCTTGTTAATGCTTTTATTCCTGTCCACCAAAGTTATGGCTATAGCTATGTTGTCTTCTTAAATCCAATTGCCTAAACAATGAAATATACTTTTTTTTTCATAATGATATCGTGGATTTTATGGATTTGAAATAGACTGATACAAGATATTATATAGATCATAAAGTGCATAACTATATACTTATGGATCTATAAAAAATATATCATAGATCCAAATTTGTGAAAATAAATAAATAAATAAATAAATTATTTCTTTGTTATTTAACTAATAAGAATTCTTGAAGTCTCACCTAACTAGTTAAGTTGTTGGTTAAAATTTCAACATATAATTTAAATTTTTTTCACGCAATCATTATTTTAAGATACCATAGTGTTAATGACCAATCGGTTTAAACGCAAAACAATAATGCTCTGCAAATTTCTAGTTCAAAAAACTTTTATTTAAATGGGTGTATTAAAAAATAATATAAAATTATTTTTAAAGTGTTATTTAATAATTTAAACTTTTAAATGGTAAATCTTTTCCGATCTCCTCTTTCCAGCTCTTCCCTTCTCCTTCTCTTGGATCACAAAACTTTTTCCAAACAAACTGTAAATTCAAAATTTGGAACAAAGAATCAGAGCAAGCTGCATACCCTACATCCTATTTTTATCAATTTTTTTTTTTTTTGTGACTTGTACAAAAATATTTAAATGATGACATGTGCACATGAAGTGGAACTTACATGTCAACAACAATTAGGATACTATTTTAGTAAACAAAATTAAAAGTTCGATATTATGGGAAAAAAAGATTTGAAATTACCTGGGAAAACTTCTAACCCTGACTTACCGACATGCCGTTTGGTCCCTAGAAAACCTCGAAGATGTCGTTCAAAACTTTTCCGCAGTAAGCAATGAGCTGCACTTCTCCTACAAATGTAACGCTTCAGTGAGGTTACCCTGCCTTGAAAAGCCTAAAATCATAGAGAAAGAAACAGGGCAGAATCAATCACAATCACAAGAGAGAAGAAAAGGAAAATGGGTTGGATCGGAGACACCGCAGACTCCATTAAATCGATCCAGATTCGGCAGCTACTCACCCAGGGCGTCAGTTTAGGTCAGTTTCTTACAGATACATAATATATTCCATTTGTCAATGTTTGAATTTTGAATTCATTTGGTTCTTTTAGAGCGCGCGATAGGTTTATGCTTTTTATTATCCTTTTTTTTTTTTTTTTTGCCTGGTTGAATTGTGCATGCAATGTGGTGGCCTGGTGGGTGAAACAGCCCTGCAGTGATGATACTGAGAAGGGATTTGACTTTAATTGGAATTACTATTTTGCCAAGGTTTAAAAACTGGGGCTTAACATCATAAATTACTGAACTTTAGTGAGCTTAATTGAGTCACTGGATTCACATTGAACCATAGAGTGAGCAATTTTCCATTTTTGGACACGGTTTTAAGCATTTGAGGTTGACTATGATTCCGTACTAATTGGTTGCTTGCCGTTTAATTATTCATTGAAAACAGACTGTGGAATTATTGCAATCTGTTAATGTAAATGCTTAGCTCTTGCATAGTTCAATGCAATTTTCAGTTAAATTTAAGCCGAGTTTCAATCTAGTATAATTTGTTTGTTTGAGTTTGCGACAGGGGTTGTGGTTGACATGACTAAGTGTTCGAAATTCCAATTTTTTTCTTCTCAATCGAAGGACTTATGTAAATTCTTATCCCCTTTTATAAACTGAATAGCATAGCATAAAAGTAAGCAGTTAATATCTAAGTTCTCTAATATTTTATCTATTGTAGTTCTTTAATTCCGTAAGCTAGATAATTCAGTTTAGGACATTGAGTACTGCTATTTTTCTGATTTGTTTGCACATGTTTAAGTTACCTCACCTCCGCTTTGACATTTTGGATAGTTTGCATTATTGAATTTCAAATTTTCAAGCACATTCAGTTTGCCAGTGGAGAAGAAAACTGCAGTTCTAGAGAACTCTGTGTTGGTGTCTTGTTGTATTCCATCTGCTAGGATATCTGGTGTTTTGAACCGTCTGCTTTTGGTTCCAGGAATGATTGTTACATCTGCATTAATAATATGGAAGGCATTGATGTGCATCACTGGCAGTGAATCTCCTGTGGTGGTTGTTCTCTCCGGAAGTATGGAACCTGGCTTCAAGAGGGTAAGCATACTAACATGGGAATCATGGGAATTATTATTGGTATAAGGTGATCTTTAATCAGTCGTGTTGTCCCATTTTGCACTCTCATTTCATTACCTTAATACGTGATAATATACACAAACAGTTACGATACTAAAGGAAGAGAAATGCATTTTTCCCCTTATTTTGTCAAGAATGGAGGATCTGAATCATCTCCTTCACAAGTTTTCACAATTATGGAACCTGAGATTGAATTCTTCCTCAGTCTTGATGTTTTCTCAGCCAAAAGACCTTGTCTCTTGGAGGCTTCATGAGAAGTCAAAAGTACCAAGTCAATTTCTGTGACCAGCTACCTATATAAATGTAGGGCTTTTATGACAGAATGTTTACCCATCTGCATGCATCCCTCTTGTGGGTTTTACCTTCTCTTTTGAAGTTCTTTAATTGCAAGCACCTTTTTACAATTCAGGGGTGCAACATCCAATTTGTTATCGGGGATGCTTTGTCTTTGCACAATATGCTTGGTATATCCTTGACAAGAATTGCACACTTTTCATAAGATTTTCAGATAAATTGGTTTGTAAATTTACATGTTTTTAACCATTTACAAATAATGGGGACTAAAGAAATTTATTAACTTCCTTATATTTCACCTCTATGCTTGAATTTCTCTCATGTTAGCAACCATGATGATATTTGATTGACTGTTTTTCGTACATAGCGACCATAACTATTTGCATTATCTGATCCATGCTCAGGTTAAGCATAAATAGTGACAACTCAAAACAAAATTTTGTAAATAATTGAGTTAGGTGCAATGGAAGTCTTACATAACATCATTTGCTTGTTTCGATGTATTTAATTGATCTGCTTCTGCTGAATGTTTGCAATGAAGTCTAACATCAATCTTCAATTAGCTAGATGATTCTGTAAATTCATTTTTAAATATATCAGGAGATTATCTTAGAAATGCTTTGACTAAATGTTTTCAACAAGAAGTTATTCTTAGTGCTTTAATTGTTATTCTTGGTATGAATGGTTATAATATATTTCTCTGCACTTGAAGTCCTTTAATTCGTACTATTTGATCAGACTGCTTGAATAATTATATTCACCTTTTGCAGGGTGACATTTTGTTTTTGCACATGAGCAAAGATCCTATTCGCGCAGGAGAAATTGTTGTTTTTAATGTTGATGTAAGTTTCTGATTATTTTTATATTTTGTTTTGCATAATATCCTTGGTTGTGTTCTCAGTTGCTTTTATGTAGATTGATGAGGCTTCCTTCTATTTTCCACTGTCTGCTTTCTTTTCAATGTTTTTGAAATGAGTTTCTGGTTTTTGTGACACTATAACTCTATTATATAATCAAATTCGACTCTGAAAATCTTTGGCTTTGCAATATTAAGTACTGCAGTCCTATAACTTGTATACATGATTATAATGGCAAAAGTGGCCGAAGTATTTGGGTTATACTGAAACTAAAGGTCTAAGATTGCTTGTAACTTGAAAGATATGCTTGCACATCTGAGCCTGAATATCGGAGGAAGGGGTTATTATGTGCCTTCCATTTGTAAAGATTTTTTGTGTGATTTTATTTACGACTACTAAGTATGGGTTGAGATAGCTTAACACCTTTTTTCCCTTTTCTATTATTTCAAACCCCACATACAGTTTACTATGTTTCCTTTAGTTTTAATATTACTATGACTTTAAACATATTTTCTTTTGCGAATAAATAGAAACTTGCTTACTATCAGATGGGAGATAATGGGAAGTAACTGTTGATTTGATTGAACAATTGCATAAATCAGATTCTTAGAAGTACAACCGTGTTGGTTTTTACCTTTATATTGGATGAAAGAAGATAGAGTTTAATAGTTTCCATTTATTGTAAATCAGTTGTTGTATGTGAAACAAAATTTTATCGTTCATGGAAAATTGCCATCAAGCTTTTACCATTACACATCAAATGAATGTTAAAATGCAAATCTAGTACATCGAGTAAAAAATGGTTTGCAGTGTGTTTCAGCATTGAATTTTCAGTTAATGTGTTGGGGCTATACTTTCAATACATGTTTTAATGATCTTGCACTTTAGCATATCGTTTGTTGCATGTGGATGTCCTTTGATGTTTTGTTTGTATGCTGTCAATATTTGCTCATGTTTTGTCAAGCTTCTGCCTTTTCCCCCCATTAATATGCTCATTCTGAAAATACATTTTCATTGACCAGGGTCGTGAAATTCCAATTGTCCATCGTGTAATTAAGGTAAAGATTTTTCTGACCTTACTGCATATTTGGTTTAATTCCATATCAATACTGAAAACTATGTTGGATAAGCTCGGTGCACTTCATGTGTAACAACAAAATTGAAGTGATGCATACTGGATGACCATATGACTATATAAGTGAGAGTGTATGTGGTTGCGAACGTGACAGTGGGGGTGGAAGGAGCTTGTCCTGTGTTTGCATCAGTTATCTGTTAAACAAACCTCAAGTATGTGGAAATGGACATTGACATTGTCCTACATTTACCAAGGAACTACCAGGATAAATAAACTCTATATTGGAGAGTAGCTGATAGGGCCTCTTAACTTGATCTCAAATAATTTTCTTTCATGAAAATAAGAGGGAAAACTAAAAAGCCATCTCATTGTTAGTTACATCCATATTTTTGTCAATTATCATCCAACTATTAGGTAATCACATAGCTTTTTTAATTTTTCCGCAGGTCCATGAAAGGCAAGATACCGGGGAAGTTGATGTCCTCACAAAAGGTGCTGGCTGCTTCTAGATATTAATATGAAAAAAGTCAACGAATTTTTGTTATGCAACCCTTCTCAATATTCAAAATTTGTATCGTTTTATGTTGTTCTATAAAAAATCCTGATTTTCTTAAGTGATGCCTATTTTAGGAGATAATAATTATGGGGATGACAGACTCTTGTATGCTCAAGGGCAGCTTTGGCTTCAGCGGCACCACATCATGGGCAGAGCTGTTGGGTAAGAAATATTATCTAACTTTTATCCTTTCTTCCAGGATTTTTTCTTCGTGGGATAGTCAAGTATCAGTTTTTTTTTTTTTTTTTTCATGGTGTTAGAACTTGATAGTACCAAGTAGATTCGTCATGTTGCTCGCATTCCCTTTTGCAGATTCTTACCTTATGTTGGTTGGGTAACGATTATAATGACTGAAAAGCCTATTATCAAGGTACGGCTTCTCTGTCAATCATTTGCCAAAACTGAGAACCATCTATTGTGCGTTTGACTATCACTGTGGTACAAAATACAAACTCTATTTAATTATGAGCCTGATTCTTTTCTTGCAGTATATTCTTATCGGAGCCTTGGGATTGCTTGTCATAACTTCAAAGGACTAATGGCTGAAACAAAATTCAAGAGCTGCAATGCAGTAGTTAGTACCCGCTGTCTCGACTTTCCCTTGAATGTATCATTTTGCTATCCATTTTGTAAGCTGGACAAAAGAAAGAGATGATTTATGTGATACATTAAGCTGATAGATGATTATGCAGCACAAGCATTGGGAAATCTCGTTTTGTTTGCTATTTTTGGTTTAAATGCTCCAGGGTTACTGCTTATGCCTAATTCCGGTTACGAATTATTAAGCCATTTGGATTTAAGTCGAGATGCTGGAATGCAAGCCAATTTAATTTAATGAGTTGATTTTGATTTTTTTTTCAAGTTATTCTTTCTCTTCACAACCGATGTTTATGTTTTTGTACTGCTATTTTCAACAGATAAGCATCAATGGAACATTTTATTGTCTAAATATTCAATTTTTTCAAATAAGGAATTCTTTTTTTCTTTTTTTTTTCTTGGTTAAAGAGGTTTGTTGCTTTTCCTAATTTTGTATTCAAATCTTGGGACTAATTTTATTATTTTTTTTAAACGCACTAGGTTGATGTAGGAGGTGTTTTTAAAATCGGGCTAATTAACACGCAAATTAGTTAGAAAATATTTTTATTTTTGAATAAAAAGAATTCCTTATTTGAAAAAATCAATAACGCTAACCTATCCTACAATAGTTATTTATATATCTATTTATTAAACTGAGGGTACTCAGTATTGGATAGGGAATTTTAGGTCTTTTGAAACTTACACAAAGCTATTAAACCTAGTCCAGACGACAACCGGGTGTCCAGATCGCTGGTTCAACAAGAGAGTTAGGGCCAATTGTAGTATAATATAAATATATTTTGTAACGCTTTTAAGTATAAATGAAAAACGGTGAAGTGGCAAATGTGTAAATTTTTAAAGTGGAGGCATCAAGTTCTACCTCACAAGTTATAAATTTTTTTTTTAAAACCACTCGTTGGTCCAATCAGTTGAGTTTGATTGGTTTTTGGTCGGATTCGATGGATTTTGACTGAGTCTCTTGCGAGTTTTGGGTTTTGGTGTCAGTCCAAACAGGTGATCGAATCATTTTAACTTTGTGGTCAGACTGACTGATCTGATCTGAAATTAATGAAACTGCATTCATATATATATATATATATATATATATTGGATAAACTTAAATTACCAAAACAAAATTATATTGAAGCAAATCTTAAAATACCTCAAAAAGAATGAGATTAATAAGCTATATAAATAACTATAAATTGAGTACTTTGTACTTTTTTTGAGTATCTAACCTTATTATTTTATTTATTTCAGTATTTAACTTTTTATTAATTTTTTTTTGAGTTTTTTCAATTACTTAAAACTGAAAAGTACTATGGTGAATACACTAATATGTAACCTTTTTTTTTATAACATATCTAAGGCAAAAAATGAGTTCCACTTGTAATTATTTACAAAAAAATAAAAAAGGACAAGCTTTAATTTGCCTGGCTAAGGTTTGTTGGGTTTCTCAATTTCTATCATGAGATTTTATTTGTATCAAATACTCCTCTGAGGCTCTGAGTTGTCATCAAAATTTCAATTTTTCATTTCTATTAAACTAACATAACAGTTGATATTGCATATTTTTTTTATATATATTCGATTGACTTCTTAAAGTTTTTTTTTTAAGTTTTTTAATCAAACATGCACTATTCAATTATATTCAATATCCTTTTTTTTCAATTAGAATTTTTTTTCGTATTTCTCAAATTTATAAACTCTTAATAAATAAAAATTATTGATAAACTATACAAACTCCAACTATAAATCTTGTATATATTAATGAAATCACAATAGTCTAATGCCAAGTTAACTGTAGTTTCTTGAAAAAAGAAAAAAATAAACATAGCTTCATATCTTCTTTTTATATTCTCATTTAAAAAAAAAAGTGTTAATTGTATAAAACGTAAATTTTAATATAATAAAATTAATAATACTAATATACTATATATTTTTTTCAAATCATAACTGAAATTTATATATTGATTATTCAAATCAGATTAAAATTCATAAATTCGAACAAATAACTAATGATGTGGATTTCATAATTGAAATAATACTACTTCCTATATTTTTTCAGATTTTGACAAGATAAATTTTATGAATTTTAATATGATTGAATGATAACTATTTGATTGAGATTTTCTTAATATTTTAGGAAATCATTAGTTATGCTAGTTTAATAATAGATAGAAATGAAGAGATTAAACTTTGATAAAAATTTAAAGAAATAATCAATGCAAATGAAATCCGAAAAAAAAATTCCTTAAAATCTCAAAAGAGACAAATTAAAATTTACTCTTATTAAAATTATAAAAAATAAAAAATAAAAAATACAGTTTTTTCAAGCTATAAATATAGTCTCTCCCAAATAAGCAAATGGCATGACCAGAATTCAATACGTCTAAGCCTAGCACCTTCTAACGAGTATTCTATATCCAAGAATTAGTTTAGGGTCAATTTTTTTACACGAAACGCAGCCCAGGTCCTTAAAATAAATAAATAAATTAATTAATTAAACGCAGGATACGCTGGCTTACCATGATCTTCCCGGAAACACAAAAATCTAAACTTCGAAACCTAAACCCAAAACAGCAAAAGCCCCCCTGCCTCCGTAAAAGAGCCAAACCTCCCTCTCTCCTTCAGATCCGCTCTCTTTCCTTTTATCTTCGTTTCCTTAGCTACTACTGTCTCTGCATATACAGATCACACGAAACAAAATATATTCGTATACTGCTACTTTTTGTCTAGGATTTGTTCTCAATTATCTCAAGATTGCCTTTTGAGTTTTCATCTTGTTGGTTTTTCTATTTGCCACATGTATTTTGGAGATTTTTTCAACTCAGTGCCTGGAATGGAATCATGGTTTTAGCATATGGGCATGCTTCTATTTGATAACATTCCTGTGCGAGTTTTCTATATGTTGTGGGTATGCATTTTCATTGAAAATTTTGTCAAGATAGTCTCTTGAATGTGGGCAGGCTTTTGTGTTTGTTTGATTGGGATTTGATTTTGTTAAATGGGTTATGAAGGTTTTTTTGACATTACTGCATAGAATATTGAGGTTGGGACATGGGTATGTTTCAATTTGAGGAAGAAACCAAGACATGCTCTCTCTTCGAGTCACTCGCAGATTCTGCAACTTTGCTGCTGCCATTGCATTAAGTCATAGTCCTGCAGCTGTATCTAGTTGCTTTCAGAATCAAAACCAGAAACCTTTGGAGGAACCTGCACTTGTTAAGCTTAAAGCCGAGAGAGACCCTGAGAAGCTATTTAATCTTTTCCGGGCCAATGCTGAGAATAGGCTTGTTGTGGAGAATCGGTTTGCATTTGAAGATACCGTTTCTCGCTTAGCGGGTGCTAACAGGTTTGATTACATTGAGCATTTACTTGAACACCAAAAAACTCTTCCACAGGGGAGGCGTGAAGGGTTCATGGTGAGGATTATAATGTTGTATGGTAAGGCTGGAATGATAAAGCATGCTACTGATACTTTTTATAATATGCATTTGCACGGCTGTAAAAGGACCGTTAAATCCTTCAATGCTGCACTCAAGGTTTTGACTGGAAGCCGTGATTTAGCAGCAATTGAGGCCTTTGTTAATGAGGCTCCGAAGAAGTTTGATATTGAGTTTGATATATTTTCTGTTAACATTATTGTTAAAGCTTTATGTGAAACGGGTGTTTCGGATAAAGCTTATTTGCTCATGGTAGAGATTGAAAAGTCAGGGGTAAGGCCAGATGTCATCACATACACCACACTTATATCGGCATTTTATAAGGATAACAGGGCAGTGATTGGCAATGGATTGTGGAATCTTATGTTGCTTAAGGGATGTTTACCAAATCTTGCAACGTTTAATGTTAGGATTCAGTATTTGGTCAATATAAGACGGGCATGTCATGCAAATGATGTGATGCGTTTGATGCAGAAAATTGGGATTGTGCCTGATGAGGTTTCATATAATTTGGTTATAAAAGGCTTTTTCCAGGCAGGTAATCCTGAGATGGCCAAAATAGTGTTTTTTTCTTTACGTGACAAGGGGCTTAAATTCAATGCTAAAGTTTACCAAACAATGGTTCATTATTTATGCAAGGGCGGGGAGTTTGATTTGGCATATACGATGTGTAGAGACTGCATGAGAAACAACTGGTATTTGAATGTGGATACCATTCATACACTGCTTGAAGGGCTAAAGAAGAATGGGCAGCTTAATAAGGCTGCGGTGATCATGACTTTAGCTCAGAGGAGAGTACCTCCTTTTCGTTCAAGTCATTTGAGTTACTTGCAAGCTGTATTGTCTAGAAGTTGAATTGGGGTGATATAGACGCTCAGATAAGCCTGATTTTGTAAAACCACAGCTTTATAGCAGGAGCTATTTCTTTCATTAAATCCAACGATATGTTCACAGAACCAAATGGACATTGTATCTTCATCCTTAACATCAAACAGAGGGAACGTCCCCATTCTTCGATTAATCTTTTATAGTACCTCAAGTAAGTTCCTGATGAAATGAAAGTTCTAAACATCTAGGGGATGGTGCCACGATTATTGTAAGTTTTCATGCAATTTCTTCCTTTATCATTGTCTATTTCAAATGCATTGCTCTGGCTTTCTAATCTATGAGTGTTGGAGCACTGTCGGTAATCCCTGTAGTTACACTTGAACATGTGGATGTTTAGTAATTCAATGAAGGCTGTTTGATGATTGGAATGTGGATTGAGTTGCTGTAAATTTTAGGAACTTTTAGTCACACTAATAGTGCTTCTAAGAGTTACGCCTAGAGTATAGAAAACCTTAACTTCACACCTAAAGCTCTTAAAAGTCACACCTAAGAGAAGATCGAGTCACACAATCAAAAGCAGATTGTTGGAGGGAGATAGTATATTATAGTTATAAAACATGGGTACGTTTTTTTTGGTAGCTAATCCATGAAAAGTTATTTAATTTGGTGAAACTGTTCTTTTGATCATATTGAGTTGACCCCGAAATAAAATGGCAAGTAGAATTGTAGAGCATCTTTTCAGGACATCTTGTATATTTTGCCAATAAGCGATTCAATGGATGTTTTTTTTTTCCCAGAAATATGCATACACGAAAAGACAAGGATTATTAAGCATTGACTTCAGAAAAAGGCTGCTAGGGTCCCCACGTATTTTGGAAATAGCAAGAGGGCTCTCCAATACCCTTAACATCAAGTACAGAATCCCACCAAGTATTTGCCTTGTTAGTTGTCAACTATATGGAGGGTAACTTCGTGAGCTTCACGAAATGAGTATTCTGCTTTCCTTCTTTGTGCAGAGCCGCCGCATCAACACCCCACCCCCACCCGGCGGGACTTCCGTGAAGTTGCACCAATATAAAGGTGAAACAAGCGTGCAAATATTCCTAGTTATGGCCACAGAATGTGGCCAAGTCCTCTTATGGTTATAACTGTTGTTTACAATCCCTTCTGTCAATGATATGAAGGAAGACTACCAACCTGATAAATTTAAGCTCATCAAGCAATATGGTTTATTTGTCAAAAATAAAAAAGTGTAATTGTTGCTCCTCCAAGGGAAGATACGTTGTCCTTATCTACTGGTGTGAACGGCTTTCACGAAAGCGTACTATTCGTCGCTTTATCCTATCTTCTGACCTGCATGTTGAAATGCCCTGTAGGTTCCATTGCTGCATAAACACTAGGATTGGTCTGAATCACTTTTATTCATGTATATTTAATAACGGATAGGTAAGAACAGAAACTCGACACATTGGAGGGTTGTAATGAATTTGATTTATGACGACATACTTTTTTCTTGTTCTGTCACAAGGGAAAAGAGCCATCCTTTCCTGTTCTTGAAATCCATCTTTCTGCTCAAATGATAGGAAGTCTTGAACCTTTTTCGTAATTGTACCTGTGCAGGACGAAAGTTACAAATCAAAATTGGCACAGCCAGAAAGGGGAGAGAGGAATCCTGGGAAAAAGGATACTGTTACAAATAAATGGGGAACGGCCGCAAGGTGGAATATTTTAGTGGTGCTCGTTGGCAGCAGAAAATGAATTGCAATTGAAACACTCTTGGTCGATGGTTTTCTGGTAGAAATTTGACTGAGGCAGACAGTGCTCAACTTTAATGGCTAGACTGGTTGCAAATTTGGATAAAGTGGGATTACTAGCAATAATTCTTGACGGTGTTGCATTTTTTGGACATGAACAACGTCTTATGATCGAGGTACCTGAATGCCTTTCTCTGCAGATTGTAAATTGAGTTTGGTTGTTTATAGCATTCTGTGTTTGACTAATAAACCTACAACTTCAGATGATATTTATTAGCACTAGTACGATGTACTAAGCTCCACCTGCTGCTCTAGTTTTGACTATGGATTCTTTCTTAAAATGCTTGCTCTAGTTAGAGATATCCCAGCACACTCACAAACTTCCAAGACATAGAAAAGCATCTATATCCTGCATTCCGGAGTTGCTATATGTTTAGTTGGACTTCTTTCTATTGAGAAATTATTGTTTTGTTTTGTCTTCTTCAAATTCAACTCAGAAGGCTGTAATTTTTATGTCGTTTATTTAGTGGTGATTAGTGAGAGGCACAGGGTGTCCATTTTCATATTATCCATGGCCTTTCCTTCTAAGTTTTTATGGTGATTTTTTGTTTTCCCTGTTATGGGCCGAGGATTGTCTTATATTAACCTTAGTGGGTTTATAGAGACAGGATTATAACATTCTTATGCACAATTTCTCCTACATCCCTTAGTTGTAGAAATTATGTGGCAATTCTCAGGCAATCGCATGTGTATAATTTATACTACATCCGTCCACAAAGATTTTTTGTTTTTTTTTAGCAAAAATTCAGATAAAAATTTGAATTTAAAAATAATATATATATTTTAAAATGCAATGTAGTAAATACAATAAGAAATGCATTTGTTGATACAGTATTTAATATTTTTTCTTAATTTGTATGAAAAATTTAATGAGATTTTCGTTACGGGATGAAATGAGTAGTTTCATAATTTTTTAGCTATTAAAAATTCTCTAATCCTATATTTCATATTATTTTTTGAGAAATTTTAGAGTAACTATGAATATTTATTTCATAAGTTTTTTTTAAAAATTTTCTTTATCTTTGTTCATTCATGGATGTTAAAAAGAAAATTTACTGTTTCTGTTACGCTAATAATTTTGATTCCCAAAAAAATTGTCAAACAATAAACGTTACCTTACACATCCTGGGCAGTGGAAATTCCCAGTTCCTATAGCCAAAGGTTATAGGAAATTTTTGTTAAATTTTTGTCACCCAAGATAGAGTAGAAATGAGGGTAGAGATGGACCCACGGAGGGTCAACTCGAGGGAAAACTAACATATGTGTGATCCGTAGTGAAATTCCACTTTCTACAAAATGTTTTGGTTTTACATTTTCTACGAAGTTCAACATTTAGACTGGTTATGGCGTTAAGGCCATAGTAATTTTAAATGTAAAAGTCTTCCCTCAAAATCATACGATAACAGAAAAGAAAAACCCTTTGTCCCCATATTTATTTGTTCTTTGTGTGGAAAATTTATCACTTCTCATTAATTCTCATCTCTTGTTTGCTGATGATGTTCTCGAAAGCTACAATGAAGCAGGCGAAAGCGGTGCATATGACTATTAATGAGTTTTGTCACGTGTCTGGGTTTAAAGTTAATGAGCAGAAACCGCAAGCCATGGCTGACCCAATTGTTTCTCGGCATAGGAATTGCAAATTCGTTTTATTGTGAATCTTAATTTCACTTCTGATCTTGGAAAGTAGCTTGGAGTCCCTCTTATTCACTCTAGAATTTCCAAGAACACATCTAGCCATATTATTGACAAGCTGCAAGGGAATCTATCTGTTTGGAAGGCTAAGCTATTAAACATGTCAGGTCGTGTTGCGTTAGCTCATTCTACTCCCTGTAGTATGTCAACCTACACCATGCAATCAGCTTGTCTCAGAGCATTTGTGATGAGGTTGACAAGATTGTTCGCTACTTCATTTCGTCGAATTCCCAGGAGAAACCGGGAATGCATCTTCATTATTGGGCTGTTGTTACTAGCTCTAAATGTGATGGTGGGCTCGGTATTGAGCGAGCTAGGTGGAAAAATGCTGCTGCTTTGTTGGGAAAGATTAGCTGGAATATTAATCCCGGCGGCAACAAATTGTGGGTGTCTTTGTTCAAGTCTAAATATATAACTCAGGGTGATCTGTTTCAGCAAACTCTTCCTTCAGCATCGTCTACTTGGAAAGCTATTTGTAGGCTTTTAATGAACTTAAGGATGGTTATGCTTGGCGAGTTGGGTCGGGTTCTGATATCTCTTTGGTTTGATCACCGGGTAGCTCATAAACTTCTGGTGGAACTGGTTCCTCAAGTTGAACCTTGCGAAGCACAACTTAAGGTTTTGCCTATAATTTCATCAACGGGCGGATGGGACCTCAATAACTTGTGCACTGCTATTCCTCATGATATTTTGTCTTTGATTACTAGTCCTCCCATTTCTAGAGTTATTCAGTGTGAGAATGGTTTGATTTATCTCCTGGTGAATACAATACTAAAGCAGTCTATAAATGGTTGTCTCATGGGCAGTTTCAGCTCACCAATGATTTTGATTGGGGGTGGATTTGAAAGCTGAAAGTTCCTTATAAAATGCAGGTTTTTCTTTGGCGTATGCAGCATGAGAGGATCCTCACTAATAGGTTAGGTCTAGAACGTGGCCTAGCGGTGATTGATACTTGTGAACGATGTCTAAATGCACCGGAAACATCGATCCATCTTCTTCGTGATTGCAGAAAAGCTGCTCCAGTTTGGCAGCATTTATTTGGGATTTCCATTTCTCGTCATTTCTTCAAATGCTCCCTTCACCAGTGGATTGAATCCTATGCTAAAGGAACCAATGGTTCTGCCTCACGAGTAGCACTGCTTTTGTAGCTGTGTGTTGGCAGATTTGGCGTTATAGGAATAGTAGTCCTGGAGGGTAGTACCGACTCCCTATACAAGCCAGCCAGTAATTCCCGTCTGTTGCTTCAGGAATCAGGAGTGTTTTATGGCTTGGGATCCAGTTGTGGAGGATTCTCAGGTTAGAATTTCTGGGTTGGTACGCTGGTTTTGGTGGACTAGCGAGGGACTTGTGTGGGACGTGGCTTTGGGGCTTCTCAGTTCATGTTGAACATGCTTCTGATATGCAAGCTGAGATTATGGCTATTAGGGCAGGGGTGGAGCAAGCTTGGAATCAGGGCTTGAGGAGCGTTATCTTAGAATCGGATTTAATAGAGGCTCTTAGAATAATCTCTGATGGCACTGCTTCTTATCATCCTCTTTGGCCATTGGATGGTGGCTGATATTCATGACTTGTGCTCAAGGAGTTGGATAGTTTATTTCAGGCACACTTTACGTGAAGGAAATTCACTCCTTGGTAAATTGGGTTCTTATCAGCTGCAACCTGTTGTAGAAAGCCTGTTCAGAAAGCGCAATGAATCCGTAGACATCTCTTTTTTTGTTCCAGTGCCAAAGGTTTGGAGAAGGAATGATAATATATCGGATATAAAACCATTATCTGCTGCATCCAATCCAATAATTATTTATTAAGAACGTCCAATAGATATTGAAATAGATAAAAATAAAAAAATACATATCCTCTATTAACCTACTCTTTACACTATTAATACTCACTAATTTATTTAGATTTTTTATTGACATACAAAAATCTAATGATATAAAAATTTAAAAATTAAGGATCAAAATATTTTTTTAAGACTTTAATGTCCAACAAAACTTATAGATAAATAACTAAAATGTTAAAAAAAAAATAAAGATAAAAAAAACTTCTTAAAAAAATTATAAAGACCACAAGTTAAATTTAAATGATATTTAATGAATATAAAATTAACAGATAAACTAATATGAGTTAAATATGAACTGAATAAAAAATTATATAATAATTTTTTAATAGATAATAAATAAAATATTCTTTTGATGAATAGATAAAAAATTAAATTAATGAACCTAATATCCCTATATTGCCATCTCTAGTTTTGAGACAATTGTTTTACATAAAATCCACATCGAACAACCCACCAAGCTCTCCGAGCGGGAATAGCAACCAGCGTCCAATCATTTACAAAAGAAATTAAAAGGAAATTCGAACAAAGTCAAATCCTAAAACATGAAATCACAATTTGAATTCACAAAAGCAGTCAGGCAAAGCAGACCCTCTTCCCAAGGCAAAATCTTCTTTATGAGCCACCCATAAGGCTTGCATCAACTCCTTCCCATCCAAGCCCTTAGAAGTGAGCTCTGCATAAGCTCTCCGGCTTAGGAATAGGGTATTATGCAACCCCTTATAAGCTCGCATCGCAGCCACCATCTTATCCATGTTCCCGAAAAAAGTAGCCACGTATGAATCACTGTTGATTGATACATAATAATCCAATGCAGCTTTTGTGTTCCCATGCATATTTAGGAAATCCTCACCACTGAGAAGTGCAGATTTGGTGACTACGTTGGTGTAAATAGATTTTAAACCTTCACTTTCCATCAGGCCATCCCCAGCTGCAAGATATATATTTGTGTCTGTCGGGATGGAAAGTGCCTGAAGAATGAAGGCTGTCTCGTTAGGTGTGAGGGGACACTTCCCTCGTTTTCTCCAAATACGAGCCAACTCCCCAGTCCATGGTTTTCTGTCTCCCCTTGCAGCTTCAATGGCTTCCATGGAAGAAGGAGAAAGGCCAGAGTACTCACATTGACTATATGCTACCATGTCAGGTTCAAATCGAAGATGAAGTGAAAGAAAGGGTTTTGGTATAGCTTCCAGAAGTTCTGCTGCTTTCTGTTCCAAGGTTCTTGCAAGGCGTAATGCGCCATAACAAGCTTGACAAAGTGCAGCTTTTGCATAACGAGGATACCTAAAAAAGAAAAAGTGCTAATGTTTGCATAACAAAACTACAAGCTATTTTACCATTTCTAAACATGAAAACAAAGTCTTAGGCTAATAATATATGCATGTAGTCAAACCTATAAGCCGAACATTCATTGTCATGCAATCACTACAAGAGAAAAATTGGCATGTAATCTGATACCTGTCCCTTCTTTGACTCATTGCTGGTGTAATTGAAATATATTGGTATTTCAATAAAGACGGAAGAACACTTTCAACATAATCAAATTGGCCTTTTCTTTTGCTACAGTCTACGGGGAAGGGTTCTTTTAATGCAACCTCTGATGGCAGTTCTTTAACAACTTTAACAAAGCCATCCATCTGTTGAATGAAGTAATCAACATCAAATACATCTGCAAATCCACTGAAGTACAATTAAAGGGTCATACATTGTATTGTCCATGAAATGACAGCATTCAAATTTGAAAACATAAAGATGCTTTTAGCCTACATTATTTGATATTGGATTACTGTACATCTCAAACATTTTCACAATTTACCAAGAAAAGAAGAGCTTCATATTCAGTTTATTACATTAGATAAGCTGCTTAAAACAAAGGGAATAATACGAATATCACAAAATAAAACAAGCTCAACAAAACCTTCGTTTCACTTATGGATAAAAGAAGACTTTCCCTAGAAGAGGAGAAACAATTCACTATGGGGAGCTGGGTTGGGAGGAGGAGAGATGAACTGGGCATTTACAATATATATCTGCTTATTTTGAAAAGAATAAGAGCTAGAGATGGGAGCTGTTGTTCCTGCTCCACAGCTTTGTTCTATTTTTTTTTAATGGACATAATTCCCCTTAAAGTGACAGCACATTCCTTAATCTTCTAGAACAAATCATCAAGCCCTTTTTGCCAAATCTGAACCTTTACTTTTTTTTCAATATAAATTGGATTAGATCGGGAAAGATAACACTAAGCATAGTTTTAAGTCATGGATGCAGTTGTAAAAATGGTCGCGATTGCAATAGTAGGTCACAACATATCGTAGTAGTAAAATAACAGTTACGACAATCAATGTCGTGAATGCACTGGCAGCTATTAATAAATTTATCTAAAATAAAGAATCAAAAGTACTCTTTTTTTATCGAACAATAATATAACAACCATTATTTGGGCCCTTATACACCAAATAATGGCAATAAAAGCTGCTGCTGTTATATAACCCCGTCAATGCAGTTATTTGTGTGAATCGGGGTTATGTCATGTATAACGACGAAAAGCAGAAATGACCTCAACTGATTTCATTAAATAACAGCCGTTATGTTATGTAAATGTCATTATTCAAAACTATGATACAGAGTACTGTTTATTTCCTTTTGAATTCGAAATTTGTGTTCTAGCTTAACATTCAAAATCCAACTTATTTGCACCGTCTCATTGGCTGACCTTCTAAAAACTGAACAATGTGAGAGAAGACAAAAGGAGAAAGGAACCAGATCATTGTGCTGGCAAAACCAATGCTATCAAAACCTAAACAACCTTTACCAGTTTGCTTTCATCATCATAGTCCTTTGCCCCAGTTACATGGTTTTTAGACCTAAAAATAAGAATGATCAAGGAAATAAAATTTTAATTGTTTTGATTTTGTGTTTAGATCTTGAATTTACATGATTTACGGTTGAAAATTGGAAAGTCATCATGGAAATTGTCTTGGGATCAGATTTAATGATTTTGGTGGCCAAAAGTTGAAAAAAAAAATGGTGGTCAACGGAGGGCTCAAATGACACTAAAACGGTGGCGTTTTACTCCTACAGGGATATCAACTAATGCAGATGACATGCATCTGCTGGTGAGAACCAAATAAGACATGTTCTTGGCTTTGATGCATTTAGGTCTCGTATGGCTATTGATGGAGGAAGAAAAGATAAAAGATTGCTAGAGATAGCTAACACAGCCAACGGCTGGTTGTCAGGGCTAGAGAAATTTTAAAACATTCAAGGAGCAACTACCAATACTTACTATTCAAAAAGGACACAAAAAGTAAGAGAAAATTACATCTATACCCACTAAAAGTGATAAGAATATTTCCATCTAGGCTCAATTTTTTTTTTTTAATTCTCTCTCTTATTTCTCTCCTCTTTGTGTCTCTCTCTCTCTATAGGAGAGTATTGGTAGTTATTCCTTGAGTACCACAAAATTTCTCATCAGGACTGAACAGCTACAAAAAAAGAACAAACCCTTTATAAAATTATCAAATATCGAAGTCATTTCTTACTACAGTAGTAGCAGCCCTTAAATACAAGCAAAACCCTAAGTAAAAGAAATCCTAGCCCTTAAAAATAATTAAATCGTAGCCATCCAAACTACCACAATAAATAATATGTAAATAAACTATTAACAGAAAAACCCTAACTATATGAAAGCTACTACAGTTTTGTCTCCTGCATCAATTTGATGTAGTGGTAGAAAGAGGAAAACAGTAGTAAACAGAGATCACACCAGAATAATGGCTAAAATTAAGATAAAACTGAAGTTGGAACATCATGATAGAATTTAGGATTCATAAGATATCTCTAGAATCTGAATAGATTGGTAAATAAAAAAAAAATACTACGAAAGTAACCCTAGCAGCCTATTTATATTAGTTTAAGTCCCATATCCTTGTAGAAAAAGGATTCCTAGTCTCTGTCCGCAAGTAAAACTATTTGGCCTATAAAGGAAATACTTTAAAAAGTCACATGCTAATCACATGATCCTAAATTAATTAAGTACCCTAATATCAGAAATATAATAAAATAAATCCTAGAGAATGCTCCTGCGTCACACATGCTATCATCTATGAAAGAAAAAAAGATGAAGTGCCATTATAAACATGCGGAGCAGCAATATCAGCTCCAAGAAAATACAAACATCAATCTAACAGCACTGAATAAAAAATGAAGCGCAATATAAACATGCGGAGCGGCAATATCAGCTCCAAGAAATTGAAACATCAATCTAACAGCACTGAATCAAAGGGCAATTCCTAAACACTGTACACTCCCACTAAAACATACCGAAATCACCATAACATAAGACAAGGAACATTCGTTTATAAGAAAATATTAACTAATCATTAAAATTTTAAAATAAGAATCATTGGAACAAGATTGAGATAATGGAGAAGTCATATTTCTTTCCACGAACATTTTCTCTGTTACCCTTTATTGTATAGGAGCACGTGGCTAAGTAATCACAACAATACATAACTATACTGGCTACCATAAAAAGAGGCCAGGATAGAGAGGCCATAATCTAAAATGTGTACGTAAACAGGACATAACAGAAACCAATATGATGGGCAAAACATGCTTCATTAGCTTTGATATTGAAGAAAATATGACACAAAGAATCAACTAATTCATAAATCTTCTTTTATTTCCTTCTAAACAACCAACTGAAATATGTATCACAAACAAGGAGTTGCATTTAAAAACACATTCTGAGTTCTTGGCCAGTGGTAATTGATAAACGTGATCAAAAGCTACCTTGATTCATTCCAATAAGCTGCTGCTTCAAACTTTGGCAAAACCAGAGTTGCATTTAACAAGCGGGCAATGCCAACACCATCGCAGAACTGCATGGATCATAAACAAGGAGCATTTATGAATAGCAACATATATTAACTTAGCATTAGCTGCAAATAACAAAAAATAATGTTTGCTCACATCTCGTCTCATCTGATTGAGGCCGCCATAGCAATCCACACGGATATACCCATGACTCTCTGCTGGTAGAGCTGCATGATTTCAACAAAAAAACCAATGCAATTTTCTGCAATGAAAACCAATTAAAATTGATTCAGGAAAAAAAAAAGGAAAAGGCAAGCGAATTCCTTTATCCCGAATCAAACCCTATTCCAAGCTGCACCTATGGTAATTGGAAAAAACTTCTGGATCCCTCCCGAAATAGCAGATTTATTCCAGATTCCATTATCAAATAAGTAAGGAAAAATACTCGTGCATAAACAAATCCTTTGCAAAGTCCAAGCCATTTACAAACCTTGAAGCAGTCAAAATTAGTTATGGAGAAGACAGTAAGAAAAGAACCCCATTCCAATAAATCAAACTCACTGGCATTCGTAGTATCCAAATTCTTTTCTCCTTCTATTTTAAAGGCAAGTAAAATGAACTCTATCTCTTTACTTGCTTCAAAAAAAAAAAAAAAAAAAAAGCGCCCACACAAAAACCAGATGCAAAAAGCACACAGAGAGAGGAGAAGACATACCGGTGCGAGCTCCATGAATCCACCACTTGCATGGCCTCCACTCCACAAGCCTCTTAGCACTCCATATCTCCAATTTCCCTCTAAATCAAGTACAATAAATCAATAAGTAATGCACCAATACAAATCACACTAAAATACAATTGACTTTTAATAAACTGTAACATAATGGAGCTTACGCTTGTTTAGTTGAAGGAAGCGATGAGGGTACTGAAAACGGAGAAGAAGGAGACAGCAAAACGATAGCTAGGAAAAGAGAGATTGTGAAGATGGCAATGAACAATGGCTTCACAGAGACTGCAATCATTTGATTATTCAAAAACCAAAATTAAAGATGAATTATTGGCTTTAATGTGTTTGTTTAAAGAAAGAGAAAGAATTTGATGTAAAAACAAAGAGACGGGCTAGGTTTTGTGGCCGTGTTTCCCTGAGAGAAATTGCTTTGCTAGATCTGATCGTATCTTTAAGGTAAGGAAGCAGACAGGCTGCTCATTAATTAAATTTATTAAAACGGGTTTCCCTTCGTTTGATTATGTCTTCTTTCTTTATTTTGGCACTTCAACTTACGTTTGTTTCCAATTTAGTCACTACAAACAAATTGTTATTATAGTAGTAGAACGAGAATTTTTTTATTTATTGCAGCAATTTGCCATCTGCATCTCTTTTCTCTTTCTCAATGTTATCAAAACAGAATCGTATTTGAATCCGGTGGAGAGGATGGGTCGATGGTTCTCTAATCAAACCAACAAATTGGCTCTTTCATATGTGAGCACTTAAAATAGCATAACTAGTGGTACTGTCTATGTATGTATGTATGTATAGAGCATACAAAAACATGAGGCTAGTGGTCGTGTGTGTGCGGTTGTTAAAGAGGAGGTTTGGTGTTTGATTCTCCTCGGGTGTAAGATTTTTTTATTTATTTTCTTATTAAATGAATGAAAAGTCACCTGCGGTGTATGACTTGTCACCTTAAAAGAGTAGTTCAAACTGGTTGATTCATTGATTTTTATGATTTAATTTAGATCTGATCGGTTCTTCAAGTTTTTAATAGGACCATCTGGTTTCATTTTGATAACATATTATTTATTTATTTATTAAGTGCATGACATGTCACTCATGATATATGACATGTCATCTTAAAAAGCAAGCTTAAAGTAGTTGGTTCGTAGATTTCGATTAATCTAGGGTTTGATCGGTTCTTTAGTTTTTTAATTGAACCATTCGACTCGATTTTGATAACATTGTTCTTTGTTGATTTTCATAAGATATCATTATTGTTTTCTATGGATTTTTTTTTTTTAGTTTTTAAAAAATTTTAAACTTTGTGACGCCCCGGTTCCCTTACTTATTACCTAACAAGCGTAACCGGCGCGACACACTCGTCGGGACTAAGTCCCCTACTTCCTCCATCATACACAACGTAAACTAAACCATGGAAAATGTATGATATAATATACAACATTATTACAGGTAGTTCTATAATTTATAACATATTCAAAATGCCTAAAAATTTCCGTCTTGGGCCCGTACCCCTTTTTAATGACACAAAAGATATTCCTATTTTTATGAGTGACACATGAGCCTCTTTTAGCGAGAACCGATAATATCCTCGAGCACTTTGCCCGAACAACACACAAATACAATAACGTAATGAGCTAAAGCTCGGTAAGTAGGGTGATGCACGTGATATGCAATGCTATTGTGTTTCTCATATTTTCATCCATTTTAATCCGGTACCCTAGATATATGCAAGTCCGTGCGCTCAATCTCTCGGTGATCGTGTTATCACCTATCGCTCTATTACTTTCTCTCGGTGATCTCAATATCACCTACCGCTCGCAACGGAATTATCCCTCGTTTTAGCACACGGTTAGCAAAATTATCCCTCGCTTAACGGTGTTAGTAAATAGAGCTCGCACTATGGATTCCTTGCTATTACCCAATCCACTCAATTCGATTACCAAACCGTGTCAATTCAAGACTCAATGATTTTTCTCAATTTATTTCCACCCCCAATGCACATGATGCACGTGATGACATGTTTAATCACATTCAACCAAACTCGGGTACTAGCCCTTCTTTCTCAAGCCATACTCACGGTCCAACCATCACTCGGGATTCACTCGGTGCTCACATACCAATCATGGTACTCATAGCGGGAACACAACCTCCGCTCATTAATATTGTTCATTAGTTTCATTAATAATTAAAGGTCCAATTCTTTTTTTTTTAATTTCCTCTATGAAAGAATAAATTTTCTTTAAAATTTTAAAATCCTTTTTATTTTTATCTAAGTCCACTTATTTTAGCCTCGAGCCCATTTTCGTTAGTTTAAGCCAATCTACTTTAAAACCAAGCCTTTTGATTTTAATCCAAGTCCATTACCAAGTTTATTTTATTTAAATCCAAGCCCATTAACATTAATCCAAGACCAAGTCCATTTGTTTTAATCTAAGTCCACTTTATTTTTATATCCAAGCCCATCTCATTTTAACTCAAGTCCAAACACATTAACATTAATCCAAGCCCAAGTCCATTTGTTTCAATCTAAGTCCACTTTATTTTTAAATCCAAGCCCATTTATTTGAATCCAAGCCCAAGTCCATTTGTTTTAATCTAAGTCCACTTTATTTTTAAATCAAAGCCCATCTCATTTTAACTCAAGTCCAAGCCCATTAACATTAATCCAAGCCCATTTAGTTTAATCCAAGCCCAAGTCCATTTGTTTTAATCTAAGTTCACTTTATTTGTAATTCCAAGCCCATCTCATTTTAACTCAAGTCCAAGCCCATTACCATTAATCCAAGCCCATTTATTTTAGGTTAAAAATTTTCCAGCAGTGGTACACCTAAATAACCTATACCAAATCAGCAATAATTCCTTAAATATATATCTAAAACTCACAACAGTTTAAGGAGAGATATTAGACATATAGATCAACAACTTTCATTCTTTAAGTTTCTTCTATAAATCATTCTAAAATCCTTAAATAAATCACACAAGTTTCGGAACTAAATAAACTTTTTCAAGTAGTTGGTCCATTCAACGATCCGTACTAAATTAGTCATAAATCCTTACATACAGATCCAAAAATAACGACGTTTTATATACATCTAATAGACACATAGATGAACAACTTTCCTTCTTTGAGTTATGCCCAAAAACCACTCTATGATCTCGAAATAAATCACACAACTTTCGGAATGAAATATTTTTTCCAAGTAGGTGGTCCATTCGAATGATCCATACCAAGTCAGTCATAACTCCACATATATATTTCTAAAAGTCACGAAGTTTTAAAAGACATAGTAGACACATATATGAACAACTTTCATTCTTTGCATGTTTCCTAAAAATCACTCTAAGATCCCGAAATAAATCACACCAAGTTTAGGTTTTTCCACCCCTAAAATCCAAAAATCTTCTCTTAAAGCACATTTCTCATCACACATGCATAACCATCCATCATCAAACATCAAGTGTTTAAAGTCATCACAAATACCATAATCACATTTTACATGAATTAACAACTCATAAAGTAAGCATGGAAGGCATAAACAAAGTAAGAAAAAAATAAAACCTACTTACCTTGGATTAACTTTCCTAAAATCTCTTTGGCTTCCTTTTAGTTTCTCTTTCTTTTTCCTTTCTTTTCCCCTTCTCTTCCTTCCCTTTTTTTTTTCTCTTTCTCCCCTCTCTTTCACTCTTTCGTTCTTGGCTTTAAGGAAGCTACGGGATGCACCAAAAAATGCATCCTTATCCCATTTTTTTACTTAAATATCTCATCTAATCTTATTCATTTAATGTTCATTACAAGTGTCAAGAGCTTGTGGTAAAATGCAAGGTAAATGTGGCTGAAATTAATGAAAGGATGGGTTTAAATTTCAAGGAGTAAGAGGTGATGGTCAATGGAAATTTATAGAAAGTAGGGGCCAAAATGTGATTAAATGAGGGTAATTAAATTAACTATATTTTTAGAATTCCTCTCAAAATTTTAGCAATTAGCATTTTTTTTCCTAACTTATACTTATTTCATATAAAAGAAATTTTCTAACTAATTTACCCAACGTTTTTTTTTTGTAAATATTGACGTACACCAGCTTACTCTCAACAAATACGTACATACCATATATTCCAAGTATATATGTTGACTCAGTTACGTATTTTCACGTACGTAACCGATATATATATATATATACGTACGAATATAAATATCTCGATATATACACTTATACGATTACGGATTTTACGAGGGTTACAAACTTGTTTGGTTGATTTTTTTTCTAGAAAATGTACTTAATATCAATCAAATATTCAAGTTATTAAAATTGACAAATATGTTATTCAAAATAAAAAAAGTGTGGTTCTATCTCTTAATTAGTCCTAGCTTAGTCTTTGAGCACACCGATTTCGACTTTAGATGCCTTGCATCTAGTCCGACTATAAGCGTCCTAGACCTAACCTTAAAGTGTCCTAGACCCGAAGTTAGTCTTACCTTTAGCAGACCTCAAATCCAGCGATAATCCAACCTCCAAACGTCATAGATCCAACCTAATGTGAACCCATGTGCTTCGGACTTATATCTAGATCACCCATTAACTGTCTTAAACCTAATCTCGACATGACCTCTAAATGTCAAGGACCCCACCTCATTCAAACCCAAAAAACCCCGGACTAGAATTGGAGCAAATCTATAAATGCCTTAATATCGACTTAAACCTCAATACTATGATCTCAACCTAAAGCTCGAGTGCCTCGAGCTTAACCTAATCCTCAAACGTCTTGGATCCCATCCAGACTCGATCATTAGGTAAAACGAACTAGGTTTTAACACCTCGAACCTAGCCTCGGTGTCTCAAACTCGATCTTTGAGCATTCTTAATAGGATCTTGGTTCGATCCTCGAACGTCCCGAACATGGTGCAATCCTAATCCTTAAACGTTCTAAATGGGGTTCTAGCCTAATCTCTAAGCACCCTAGCTAGATGGTGTATAAGCTCGATCTTCTAGCATTTCAAATCGAGTTCTAGTTCGATTCCTAGACCCCTAGATATGGCCTACTAGATCCATGAATATCTTGTTTGGGGTTGTAGCTTGATTCCCCGATGCCTTAGATCGAATTCCAATCTATTCCCTCGGATCCCTCAATCCAATCTTAGCTCAATCTTCGAGCTCTCTATATTCAATTTAAGCCTAATCTTTATGCTTTTTAGATCTTTAAGCACCTTAACTCGAGGTGCCATGGACTTGACCCCGGTCCCATCATGCAGCAACCTTCTACCACTATTGAATCAATCCCAATATAACC